TCTTAAATCTAGTTTAAATATCTGTTATTTTGTTTTTAATGGTTGTACGAATTATATAAGATTATTAAACTTATTTCTTAAAGTTTTTTTCTCGTTTAAAGTCATTTTATTGAGAATTTTGCTTGTTTCAAGCACATTTTCTTAAAATAAGTAAAATTAACTGCCAATATAATGAGATCATTTTGCTTAATAACATTGCTCAAAACACATAAATGAATATAGAATATAGAAATATTGAAAATGAGTATAGAAATTAGTTAAATAATCTTAAAATCAGCTTACAGCAATCTCAACACTAAGAATATTAGATATATTAACTGGATTTAAGATCATTTCACTTTCCAAGACACCATTTTTTTGCAGTGTAGTGAAATTTCACAGCAGAGCATTAGATACAGATCTTTTATCAAGGAATAGAAGTTTCAGAGGGTTTTGATGGAGCAGATTTTGACTGGATGTTGCAGGCCTTTTAGCGTTAGCATAAAGGGAAGTTTTCCAAGTAGACAACAAAGCACTTCAGTAAGTTACTCAGGATAAGAGCGTTTGCCAGACGCCATAAAAAGTATGTGTAAATGTCTAAAGGGAGGTTAGTAATGTAATGATCATCCTTTGGTCCTGCTGTCTTAATGCCGTCAGCTGCTGCATCATCGTTGCTTGTGGGAATCTAGGAACGAAGAATGAATCAGTTTAGCGCTAACCAATTTTAAAGCATTCTAGGGTAGATTTGGTACATTAGACATAGTGTTTGTAATGTCAGAGCAGAGTGTTAGTGTTATCATGAAATTGAAGTTTCAGAGGTTTTGAGGAGATTTTGGATGCAGGTCTGTTAGCACGAGCATAAGGATATGTTTTCTAAGCACGTCTGTAAGTTGCCAGGTATAAGAACATCTGCCAAATGCCATAAATGTGAAATGTAAAAATGTTTAAAAGGGAGTTAATAATATATTGAAGGTATTGCTTTTGAGTCTATGGTCCTGCTTCATGCTATTTTACCTGTGGAAAAGTAGAAAGAGTCTAGTGCTAGAGTTTAGCGCTGACCACTTTAGAGGCATTACTGTGGTCAACTTCTGATAAGTTTGGCATATTATTTTGTAGTGTTTATAAAATTCAGAGCATTTATATGAAATCAGAGAAGGTTTTGAGGGAACAGATTTCAGTGGGATATTGCAGGTCTGTTAGCACTAGCATAAGGATACGTTTTCCAAGTAGATGACAAAGCACGTCTGTAAGTTGCCAGGTATAAGAACATCTGCCGAATGCCATAAATGTAAAATGTAGTTTAAAAGGGAGTTAATATTGAAGGTGTTGCTTTTGACTCTATGGTCCTGCTTTCTTCACACTCTTTTACTTGTGAAAAAAGTAGAAAGCGTCTAGCGCTAGAGTTTAGCACTAACCACTTTGGAAGCATTTCTGCAGTCAACTTCTGGAAAAGTTTGGCACAGTATTTTGTAGTATTTTTAAAATTTCGAGCATCCAGTACAGACTATTTATTATGAAATCAGAGAAGGTTTTGAGGGAACAGATTTTGGCAGATATTGCAGGTCTGTTTGGCAGATATTGCAGCATAAGGATACGTTTTGCAAGTAGACAACAGAGCACTTCTGTTAATTGCTCGTGTCACGAGTGTCTACCCTGTGCCTTAAATATGAATGTCTAAAAGGAAGTTAATAACATAGTGTTGATCCAGATCAGGGGTCGCAACCCAAATGTTAAGAAGAGCCATTTTGTCCTTTTGACAAAAATCAAACCACCTTCGGAGCCACAGTTTCATATCTATTTTACCATCTTGGCTGTAAATATGTCTCAGTATGTGCTGATGTACTAGTATAAGATAAAAATATAATATTAACGAAAACGCAGACTTACTTAGCTGGTTTTCTCACATCTCCAGCAGGAAACAAAAGTAGAACAGTTTCTTGTAAAATTTCTCTCAACGTTAGATTTTTACGAGGCTGAAGTCGCTTCTCATTTGCCAGGTTCTTGTTCAGATTTTTCCATTCCACCTTAAATTGTGCCTGAGGTGCCAGAATATAACTGCTGCACCGTTTAACGTGGAACGGGAAAATTTGAACAAGAAGCTGGCGAATGAGAAGCGACTTCAGCCTTGTGTTTGATAGTTTCTCACTGCAGATTAAACGTATCAGGAAACCAGTTGGAATGATTATAAATGCAAATAAGTCCATTTGTCACCAAATTATCGATGTCTGTTTTAAATCTTTCTTTTTGCCTTTTCGTTAGCTACTTGCCTGGCAAGATTATCTGAGTTTCAGGGTCAAAGGGTGAATTAGCAGATACAGGCTACGTTAACTCCAGCGTTTAAGACCATGTATTGTTAAAACTGTATTAGAACAATCAGCAGAGCTTTATTTCACTGGAAATTTATTATACTTTTTTACCTAAAAATGTAATTCTGCTGTGGAGCCGCAACAGGACAGTTAAAGAGCTGCATGCATGTTGCCGACCCCTGATCCAGAAGGTTACTCCTACACTCTGTGGTCCTTCTTTCTTCATGCAATCAGCTGCTGCATAATCTTGTACAGAGTCAGGAAAGAATGAGCTCAGCAGTTTTGCACTAACCACTTTAAAAGCATTTCTGTGGTCAACTTATGATAAATTTGCACGTTATTTTGCAGTTTGTAATGTCAGAGCAGAGCTTCTGATACTTATCCTGACGTGAAAGTTTCAGAGAAAGTAGGAATCAGATTTTAATTGGAGCAGCGTCAAACTAATTCAGCCATATTGCTCTCACGGGCTGGTCAAATCTGCATCTCTGTCTTCAGACTGTGTTACAGCATCTCCAAAATGCAGAAAATGCGATCTATGCCCTTGGGATGTTGGGAACAATATCGCGCGAGGCAGCACATTTTTTTTTAATACCGTTTGAATTGGCCCACAGGAGCGGGATGTCGTTTGAAATGCACATTACTCCTAATGGCTACGCCATTAAAACGTAGCTGCCCTTAAATTAGCCCCGCTCGCCTGAACACTCGCTTGGCAGCTATTTCGGTAACATTCCGAAATATATTTGCGCATAAACAGACATGCTGGACGCTGTTCAAGTCACAGACAAAAACCCAGCACATAACTCTGGGTTCTAGCATATATCTTTGTGCGTAATTAGCGTCCTGAAAGCCTCATTCAGGCGACTTGTTCTTGGAGTGTAAGTGTCAGTCGCATGGCACTCTTTGATTAGTGAGCACAAGGCGAGGAGGGGAGCGCAGGTGGCTGTTGGAGCGCTGCCTGGGTGCGTGCTAGCGAGTGGGAGTTAGCGCCCTGGTCCCTAGCAGGTAGGTGACAAGGGGGCAGGTGTGAGTGGGTGAGTCTGGACATGGCCCAGGAGCTCCTCACTGCGAGAATTATGAAGAGGACACAAAAGGGAGAGAGAGAGAAAAGGCAGCCACCTGTTCTGAACTTCTCCTGGCGGTCCGCACAGCTGAGCCCTTTGCTGTCTTCAAAAAGACCCGAAGATCCCTTTAATGCACACTTACTTAACCAAATAAGGAAAAAACTCTTGTCATCACTTTATTAGACTTTATTATATACTTCTGCTCTCAGGTCACTTTATGCTGCCTGTCTACCTTATAGCTCTACTATATGTAGTCGTATGCAAAAGTTTGGGCACCGCTATTGAAATTACATGTTTTTTGATTTTCCAGAATTCAGAATTTTCTATATTTCTGCATAAATTTGACGTAAAGCTTTATCAGATTTTCACATGTCCTAATAATGGATAAAGAGAACCACATTAAACAAATGAGATAAAAAGATTAGGCGTTTTAAAATATTAGTCATTTATTTATTGAGGAAAATGGTCCAGTATTACATATCTGTGAGTGCTGAAAGTATGTGAACCTTTGCTTTCAGTATCTAATGTGACCCCCTTTGTGTAGCAATAACCACAACTAAACATTTCCGGTAACTGTTGATCAGTCCTGAACATTGGTTTGGTGGAATTTTAGCCCATTCCTCCGGACAAAACAGCTTCAACTCTGTTTTGTTGGTGGGTTTCCTCTCATGAACTGCTGCTTCAGGTCCTTCCACAACATTTCTGTAGGATTAAGGTCAGGACTTTGACTTGACCATCCTAAAACATTAAATTTCTAACCATTCTTTGGTAGAACGACTTTGTGTGCTTAGGGTCATTGTCTTGTTGCATGACCCACTTTCTCTTGAGTTTCAGCTCACAGGACAGATGTCCAGACATTTTCCTTTAGAAATTGCTGGTATAATAGAGAGTTCATTGGTTCATCAATGATGGCAAGCCGTCCTGGCGCAGATGCAGCAAAACAGGCCCAAACCATGATACTACCACCACCGTGTTTCACAGGTTGAATAAGGTTTTAATGCTGGAACGCATAATAATAATAAGAATAAGTTAATAGAGAACACAATTCTGCATATTTTTTCTGCATATTATTGTACTGAATTTTACATATTGAGGGAATAAAACAAGCATAATGTGGTCTGTGCAAAAGTTATGGCACATTTATGGCACCACTGTTGACCAGATATTGGTTGGGTGGTAAACCCACACAGAAGTGTCTAGTGTTTCTCACACATAGGGTGTACACATATACACAAGTGACAGTTTGTTGACATTATGGAAATTCAATTTGAACCATTTAAATGGAAACCCCACTACAGTCTTGGAAAACGTTGTGTGTTTCTAATAGCCTTGAACATACCTGCAGTAGTGCAGTCATCGTAAATAATGTCATTTACATAAATTGTGTTATCTATTTATGCTTTATAGTTAGGATTTTCCTAGTAGACCACCAGAAACCCTGTGCACACAGACATCTGCTGATTTCCCCATAAGGCTCTCGGACTAAACAAGCTTTAGCTTCTATACGTTTACCTCTCGATTTGCTATTACAAATCTGACGTTGATGAATGACAAACAGAAGATGTCATTTTAGCTAGATCATATAGGTCACCCTCTCTTAACCTTTGAACCCTGAGCCCTAATTCCTGACCTTTTCACCTTTTGTGTCTTACAGAGGCTTGCCAGAGAGGCGGAGCAGATACAGACAGAGCACCCGTGGCAGGACGGCATCAAGGTAAGCTCGCTTATGTTCACTGGTTTCTACTTCTGTCTTGCAGTCCTTTGGACTGATGCAGCTGTGATGAATCAAAATGACTCACGATTATAAACTGTCAGCTCAATGTATTGATTGTGAAATGATTCAGATGGCATGCTGTAGATTAGTGATGTATTCTGTGTGCTGTCAGGAGAAATTATGGATTTTTAGCATTGTTTCAAATGGATATTAAACACCTGGTAGCAACACTCCTTTCAAAGCCCAGTGTATTGATCCATCCAAGCTCTGCCCACTAATGAGTTACGAGGTTGGACAAGCTTTACAGGACAGCAGCAAAAACTCTATTCAGTGAAAACCTGCAGCACACAACTCAGCCAAAATACATACCTCTGGAAGGCATTAATATTAGCAAATATTTCTGTTGGATGCATGTGGAAGGTCGCGCTAGCCACATTTACATGCAGCCTGATAATCCGTTAATGATCCAACTAATAGCTCAATCAGAACAAAATGTGCCCATGTGTGCAGCTCAGTAGGACTAGACTAGTCCGATTGAGGCCATTTGGAATACAATTTCTATCCGACTGAACAGGGCTGGGCAATCCTGTAAATAATCCATTTAAAAGAAGAATAATAGCAGTGTAAACGCCTGTATCTGATTACATTCCCAATCGGAACGTTTAAGTACGTTCTGATCATGTGCGTCACGTCATAGCGAGAGTTCATAGCACTCAACATGGCGGGAGCAGAAACTGGTCTGCAGAGGAGACGAAGTTTATGCTCTGATCTTTAAAAGACGGCGGTGGGACGGACGTCCAGCTTATGTGTCTCAGAACACGACGTCTTCCTCTCGGCCTTCTTTAATAAGGACGTGTGAAGTATGTTTTCCCGAGTCTGACATCATTTTAAAGTAACACAAGCGCCGGCTGAAAACTGAAAGCAACACACTACTGCTCGCCCCACGCTGACTGGACTTACGTGATGCTCGTTGTCATGGTAACATCTACACTAAGTGGTACTCTATTACTTGTAGATTGCATGTAAACAGATTTGAGACGAGTGAGTATATAAACACCTCAGTCTTTATCTATAATCGGAATGTATTCAATCAGATTGAAAAAAATCTTTGCTTGTAAACAGTGGATTTTATTTTCATCGCTCAATGGCTCTAAAGTTAGCATGATGGCATATGCTGTCCAGTTTCGTCATGCCTTGTTTCAACAACGCTTACTTCAAAACAATGGTATCTAACTGCTGACTCTGTGGCCATGAGGGACAGGGATGCAGTCTCACTTCCTCCTGTAAAATGCAGGGGCGTGGCTAAAATAAGACTCCGCCTATGAACTAAAACTCAGTGTTTTGGTAGTGACATGAAAACATATGACAGCATTTTTTGAGCGGTGTGGTTCCGTATAGGCAGTGAGAGTGAATGAAGGTCTTTATTTGTTTTAAAATTAAACTCATAATAATTCTAAATCTTTCAACTTCACTGTGAAAGAAATCACAAAAATCTTTTAAAAACAACATTGAAAAATTACCAAAGAAATGTGAGTATTATTTTCCCAAGTTGAAATCTAGGAGTTTAGGGTTTGGGACAGACCCATAAAAATACCCTATAAATGACTTTGTACATATTTTGCTTATTACTGTCTCAATTAATGTCTTGGGTTTAAATAGATCAGAACGTAATCATTGTAGATGTCTGAAGTCTGAATACTTTGTTTTATTTTTAAGTAGTTTTTGTTTGTTTGTTTTTATTTAGTTTTTTATTTATTTATTTATTTTTTTGGTCCTGCATTTTGAGCTAATTTGGTTCCATGTTCCACATGGCGCATTACTAATGAGGAGATGGGGATCCGTTTCAGTCACAGCCATGCTGTCGTTCGGCGGTGACTACACCAATACACAGGCTAAAGTGTTGCATGAGTCAGTTGGAAACACAACACATACAGAAATGATCTCAACCCCAGCCAATATAAACAGCTACAACCTGCAGATCTATACAAAGACACCCACACCATGAAAATGAGGAGAGATAAATGCACCACGCATAGTCACACACACACACACACTGCCGCACGGTGTCGGCTGTCTCCAGGGAGACAGAGCTTGCTGTCATGCTACACTTCCTACAAATGGAATTTTAACCCCGTGGCTCCCGCAGGATGTTTGAGAAAAGACTCTAAAACTAATAATTATGAGACCTCCTCACCAAGAGAGCCCATCACTGTTCATGCCTGCTTAGCCACTGCACTCAAAGCGTGGCGGGGGGGGGTGTGGAGGGAGAAGAGAGCTGCCTATCATCCCACACACAGGCAGCTTTGGGTGGGTTGCCACAGACCCCAAACACCTCTAGCCTAGAGCTCTGCAGCCTGGCAGCCTTCGAGTATAAGTCTGAAGCTGCATTTACAAAAGCATTTTGGTATTTGTCAAAAAAAAATTAGCATGCGTTGCTGGTTTCTTGTAGGTGTGTTTGCGTTTTGTGATTTTTCTACATTTTTTTTAGATATTTTAGGAAAATCAAGTCGAAGTTTATTTACATCATGCCTTTCACAACCGGCGCTGTCACAAAGCAGCTTGACGATATTCACAATATGCTCAGAAAAGCATATTTTCCAATTAAATCCAATTAAATAGGATTGATTATACTCTCTTTGTAATGAAAAATGCACTTTAAGCTAGTTTGTCGTCATACACCATATGGCCGAATGTATGTGGACATCCCTCCTAATTATTGAGCTCAGGTGTTTCAGCCGCATCCATTGCTGCAGGTGTATGAAGTCATACACATAGCCCTGCAGTCTTTGCTGACATTGACTTGCCAGCGTGGCACTGTCAGAGCATGGTGAACTTTGCCACAAGTGAGTTCATGAAATTTCTGCCCTGCTAGATCTGCCCCTGACAACTGTAGACGCTGTTATTGTGAAATGGAAGCATCTAAGAGCAACAACAGCTCAGTCACGAAGTGTTAGACCATGCAATCTCACTCTCTGGCAGTCTGATGGACAAATCTGGGTTTGGAGGATTTCAGGAGAACACCACCTACCAGAATGCGTAGTGCCAAGAGTAAAGTTTGGTGGAGGAGGGATAATGGGCTGGGGCTGGTTTTCAGGGTTTGGGCTCCTGAGTTCCAGTGAAGGGTGATGTTGATGCTACAGCACACAGACATTTTACATAATTCTATGCTTCCAACTTTGTGGGAACAGTTCGGGGAAGAACCTTTCCTGTTCCAGCATGACTGTGACACAAAGCAAGGTCCATAAAGACATGGTTTGATGAGTTTGGTGTGGAAGAACTCCAGTGGCCTGCAGAGAGTCCTGACCTCAACCTCACTGAACACCTTTGGGATGAACTGGAACCAAGTTCCAAGGGGCAAGGTGACACTCAAAAACAAGGGGTAGGGCTAAAAATAAGAAATGGCATTGGGCCTTAGTTTCTCCACAGTTTTTCACAATATAGACATGACTGACTGAAGCCCCGCCCCAGAACATCTCCTATCACTCATTATGTTGAGTGTGGTTCAAAATTAATGGCAAGAGCTGCATTTTTTGACAGATACCTTAATGTCATCATAGACGTGTAAACATAAAGACCCAACTAATATGAACATTTGGTCATTGATATCTATGGCAGCTTATTTCAGACTTTGTTCAAACTCAGAAAATTCAAATACAAATTTGAAAATGCTAATTAAGTTATATATTTACAATTGCATTTCCAATGTGAGTGCGCGTTATTAAAGACATAATTCAAATTCAAATGCAAAATGTGTATTTGCATTGGCATTTCTGTGTGTAATGGCCAGAAAACGTTAACATGGAAAAGCAAAATGCTTTTGACATTTCATTTTCCTTGTCTTAAAGGTCTGATTCTGACATGTTTAAAAAGGAGAATCAGTCGCCCATTTGCAATTGTATTTCCTTACTGTGGTGCTTCAGCTCTACCAAAATAAAAATGCAGTTGTGTTCTAGTCTTTTTTGGGGACTATTTTGACCCACAATACCCTGCATGTACCTCTACATCATAGATGAATTTTTCCCCAAAAGCTCATTTCAAAAATATTGTAAAACAATGTTTCAGACATCAGGCAGTGTATTTGTAACCGTTTTGTGTTATAGCTTTCTTCTGTGAGGGAGCTTTTAGAGGTATTAAACTCTTCAGACGTCTGGTTCCCATCACCACCACAGTGAACAGTTCTGACTGTAAGTTTCTCTAGGATAGAACATTTCACACCAAACCACTCTGAATGACTTTGTTTATGTCTTAAGATTTGATTACACAGAAATTCCCCTTTAAATCAAAGTGGAAAATCTATGTTTTAAATACATGTAAAATGAGCCGCTGTATAAGGAACGTGCACACAAACACTCACACACTAAACACGTCCCTTTGTCCTCCGCTCAGCGGGAGGAGGTTAATACCCTGTCTGGTGTCACACAGGTAAAACACCTGTCCTCTGTCTCTCACTCGTCTGCTTTTATCCTTCTCTCCCTCTTCCTCCTCCTCCTTCTCCTCCTCCCCCAGTGCCACTTTAACCCTTAAATGCACAGCTGTTTCACCAGGCATATATACGGTTATATACAGTTATCAAATCAGCACTCACAGCTAACACAAAGTGATCTAGGTACTGGCATGATAGTGTAAAGCTCTCAAAACATTTCACTGACAATAGTAAAGTAATAAAATCAAATGTATATTTTGTTATTTGTTCATTAGGACTGTCACTACAGATTACTGAGTGATCTACAGGTTATTTCGATGATTAAAGTAATCAGAGTTTTTAACAAGTCAAACAAAAATACGAACTATGAAAATCTTATTTAATATATCTTCATCTTATACACTAAGATTCAAGCACTTGTTATGTTAATAATTTGTCTCATTGTATATATAATAATGTCTTATACAGTGTGGATTTCAGTATTAGTAACTAGATAATAATTTTTAGGTTTAGAATAATCTACAGCTCTGTCCATCAGTCTGGACACGTCTAACATTTTTATTCACAGCTTCCTAGT